TAGTGCACTCTTTCATTCTTCCATGGGGGAGTCAACAGATAAGAAAGAGAGGCAAAAAAAGAAAGAGGTAGTGGTGTCGTGTCCTATGTTGGAGTTATACTTAATCATTCAGGTCTATAAATGAATATCGCAAACTGGGACTGAAATCCTTAACATACCCACTAGGTTAAGTCATGAGCCTCTAAGAATACTAAAAATATGTTGTTGGGGCATTACCCCAAATACTTAAAAGTTTAAAGCAATATATACAAGATTGAGCTCCCACCAAAGTGACTAGTGAAAGTGAGTTGCGCTGAAGTCTAACCAATCTGATCGTGCCTGGAGTGTAATCTGTAGAATCTGCATCCAAGAAAATTGAAGTAGGCCCTCACAGGCTAAGTATCTCCGATAGGATACCAGGAAGTCTCATAGACTATTTCCTCAGCGGAAGAGAACGAAACTTTTGGGTTAAAGGTACAAAATAGCAAGAACAGGAAAGATCACATATGTTGGAAACTGGCATATTCGTCTAAAGGTAGCTGATAACTAGAGACTGCATGCTCACTATATAACTAGACTATGAATTGAACTGTAAACTGAATAACTGGCATGTACATGAATGCGTAGATACTTTTGAAAGCAAATGATTTTCGGAAAAAAAGTTTTAATGTTGTGACCCTATGTATGTTGAGATCTGGAAACACACATGGAGGGGGGGGGGTCAGCCTATCCCCTAAGTTGGTGCTTACGAGCATGGGTAGCTAACCCGGCCCTCGTGGCTCTCACACAAGGGGAGGTTGGCCATTTCTCTCTTCCGAGTCTGAATGTGATCACACCAGTAGCTAAATTTGAACTGAGCTTAAACGTGACAATGCAATGCATGTGATGAGTAATGGTTCATGATTCCTGTACCATAATATTCTGAAAGCTGAGTATATAAAGCACACAAATAATGAAAAGTATCTAATAATACATGTACAACTCGTACTTTCTTACTTACAACTGAACTAAATGAGAATAGGGTGGACTGAGAGCTGATTCACCAGGATATTATCTCTGGTATTTTATCGAACGTGTAGGGTACACGGGTTCTAGAATTCTCATTAAGTAAGTTAGTAAGCTTTAACTTATCATTTCTTTTTCGATGTTCTTCATTTTTCTGCTGTGTTTGCTTAAACCTCTTCTGTGGGTCTTTTAGGACCGCATAATTGCTCGCCTTCAACAACCATATTCATTGGATTGCATTCCTGTTGAAGCTGAATATCAGGTTTGTTACTTGCCAACTGTATAAAATTAGTTTATCTTCCATGAATATCTAGAACTTGAGAGATAATGCTTGTCCATATATATACTCTTTTATTTTTTGATCACCGTGGTTGTCCATATATATGTACTGACTACCAAAGAGTTTTAATCTCATTTGCAAAAAGATTATTTTTGCGGAAGATTGGGAAAAAACAACATAGGTATGTGAAAGAATTTTCACGGAATATTATTTGTCCATGAAAGACCTCATGTGTCTTCAGAATTTCAGCCACCCTTTCAATCTCCTAGTCATATAACAATCTTCTAAAAGAGATATCCATTCCTGTTGACTCCATGCATCCTCAATTGTAGCTTCAGGTGTAGACGCCAAACAGAACAAATCTGGATTTAATTCTTTTAAAGGACCATGTCCTAACCAATTATCATTCCAGAAGAATGTCTTCCTTCCTTTCTCTGAACTCAATGTTTATAGCAAAGTTCTCCCAAAATTTCCTGATGTCTTTCCAAATACTAACCCCAAAAGAGGAATTCACTGGTTTAGAGCACCAATGTCCCAGTTGACCATATTTTTTATTTATTGCCTTCCTCCAGAAGGCATTATTTTCAGTACATATTGTCTCCATCTTTTCCTATGTAATTACACACAACAATGTTATAGAATTCCTACATCTCTTTTTTTTTTCTGGGTTGATTGCTTACCATTTCGGCAACATTATCCAGACAATTAGTAACTACCCGTCCCGGGTCTATCTTTAGTTTTTCATTTTCAAAATAAGCAAACTATAAGTTACTTTATCACCCCGAGTTTGAGGGAGCATGATCAAAGTCAAGAAAGAAAACCTATTCATTCTTAATAGTTACATTAATCAGAGAGCAATTAGAAGTGTAGAATATTCATAATATTTATCCTCAAAAAAAAAGTGTAGAATATTCAATATACATATGTCTCATAATCAAGAAACACAAATATTGCGAAACTTTTGTACCTGAAAACTCTTATATAAGGAGCTCTTTGATGAGTTTTTAACCAGTTAATTTGAACAAGATTTTTCTGCTACACCACACCGTGAGTAATTAACTCTGATTTTTTATCACTAAAAGTTGCATAAGCTAACTTATCAAAAATGTGAAAAAAGGTATGAGTTTGTCTGGTTTTACATTAGTTCTCTAGATTGAAAATTTCCTGTTATTATGCCAATACTCTTAATTTAATCTAAGCTCATGTTAATATCACCTGGTTAGAACTTCTTAAAGCTGCGGTGTTTACCAAACATGAAATTATAAAACCAAATTAAGTGTCTCATTATGTTTTGAAAATAACTCTATTTCTTCCCTGATGTGATGCTTGTCATTGCTATTCTTATCAACAAGAATGAGTATTATTTTCATAATACCAAATCTCTAATTCTTTATTCTTTTGCTACTGTGTGCACCATTGCTACACAATTCAAAAGCACTTCAGCATTGACAACACAAATAAAAAAACAAAGAACAGCAATTGATGAGTGCACACACTGAATGTAGGGCACTTTGCCAAAGAGCTACTGCTTAGTCCTTGTCTTGTAACCCTTTGAAACTTAAACACCCGGTGAGAAAAACTAAGAGGAGGAGATTTTTTGATAACATGATGATAGTGGAATAAAAGATACACCTATTTATAGTTGTAGGATGCAATCTTCAGTACCCATTATATGTTGGTTCTATGTAAAGAGAGAAGCATGAGAGCATTTGAAGGAGTAGATAGTGATTTGGTTAAATTGCAAAGTAGTCCTCTGCTTATGTTTCTTTTTTGTGTACCCTTGAGGTTCCTATATGTATAGGTGATTGGATTGCTTTCTTAGAGAACCATACATATTTTGGTGTAGGTTCTCTATGTTTTGGTATATTGCTTGTACTTGTTTATGAGGTTCTCCGCCACCATTAATAAAAAAAATTACCTTATCAAAATAAGGATAACCTACATCTTATATTTAGTTGAAAGAGGAACTAACCAGATACCATCATAATATTCTTAATTACATTAACACTTCGCTTCTAACACACCCTACTGTACATTATTTACCTTGTAAAAATAGAATCACGGTAGTTGCACTTCGACTGATACCCAGATGCTTCTATACCACTCTTTAGCTTTTTAAAGCTGTTCATTTAATCATTCAGATACGTATCAAGCCAATAGATGTCTTAATGAAATTGAATTGTGCAGAAACAATTTTCAGAATTGCTGATGAGGGCTGCTAGTGATTATGGTGCTTTAACGGCCTCCGTAACAGATTTTCAGTGGAGTCAGAATTTTAAAGAACCACCAACAGTATGGGGGGTATGCACTTCTTCTTTTTTCAATCCTGCTGATTAACTTTTTCTTCATATGTTGCCAAAATTAAACTAATTTGTTTTAATGGTTTGAGTTTGAAGCATATAATATGTTTTGCGTGGAAGCTATTATCTTATTTTGTATGTTGGGTTCTTGTATAAAGAGTAAATGGCATCATCATGTTTAGCATATATCTGTCCTGTTGACAGTCAGGTCCTTGATGATGCTCATGTTTTATTCCCTATTTGTCTGGTGCTAGAAAATATTGAGTTTCATTTTGTGGAAGGCATGTCACTAGTTCTACATACACTTTGATGGAAAGAAAATTGTAATACTCAATAAGGAAAAAAATAAAATTGTATGTGGTGTAGTTAGCAGGAGCTATAACTGTCAAATAGGGACAGAGATGTATGATGCAGCTAGATGTTAGTGTGTATAGAAGCAACACATGTTTGTATGTGCACTCAGGTAAGACTGATTCAAGTTGTAACTGCAAAAGGATTAAAGGATATAGGAAATTGCATGCCTGGTGAGTTGGAACCCTCAAAGTCAATGTTGCTTTAACTTTCCAAAAATGTTGCTACACTGGTGTTAGATCTTCCAAAAATGCACTACTTTTTGGAATATCCGACACGAACCCATCGATATTTTTGAAGAGTTTGAGGAATATAGCTCAAAGTACACAATGGGATACAAAATTATTCCTCTCAAGAGCCCTCCCGAATTAGTCATGAATTCACATCTATGGATAGGAAAACAAGGTTAAATATTTTAGACATATACCAAATTGCATTTGATATTCAAGTTTGATGTTTAATTAATGTAGGAAATGCTTCGTCCAATTCCTGTTGCTTTGGCTTCTAGCACCCGATTCTTTGAAGCCATGTCTGCTATGAGAGAGTCAATTGCAACACTGCATGCTTTGAGAGTTGGTCATTCTTCTTCCTTGTCTACAACACCAAGCAACAATCCTTCTCAAACAACACTTGGAGATACTGATTGCGTGACTCCTCCCCCATGGAGAACAGAATCAAGCTTTGATGATTTAGCAGTTGGAAACCTGAGAAGGCAAGAAAGTGAGCCTCAAGAAGGTAGTGAAATTGAAAAAGGTGATAGTATGAGCCACAGGAGATTGTCATGGCCTCCTTCAGTTAAAAACATCTGACGGGTTTATCCCCATTTCCATGAATTTGTTGTTTTGGTTCTCTTTGTATTCCTGACGGGTGTGTTTTTCTTTTCATTACTCGATTGAAGGAGATCCCTTTAGTGAATTTCCCAGGACATCTGTTTGGTTTTAATCTTGTAAATGTATTCCTTAACTGCAGCAATTGCTGGCACTGTCCAAAATGAAAAGATGTTTTTTCACAGATATATTCATTCTCCAATTACATATAGACTTTCTTTCTAATTGATGATGGTGACAAAAGATAAAAGTGAAAATAAGCACACACTTAAACCTGATGGTATATATGAAAAATCTAAAATACTGTCGGTGTATAAAACTTAAAACTCTATTTTATTACTGTACAAAGGTCTTTACCAGGGAAGGGAGCAATAAGGCAAGTATAGTATGCCCAAAAATTGTACATGAAATCAGTCAACTCTTTGTTCCTTCTTTCTCTTTCTCTCGCGATAGAGATGACATTTTTCCCTCCATAAAATCTGAAGATCAATGACCATGAATGCTTGACTTTCTATTGCGAGATCATCACCCCAATGCATGAGTTGAGGGGGGGAAGAATGGAGTTTGCGAGTTCTTCATTTAACTTAACTGGGAGTGGTGGCATCTGCTTCAGCGTGCAGGACGACTCATTCAACCTGTAAATAAAGAACAAAGGTAGAATATAAAAGATGTAAAGGGACAGGCATACTCAAGAGGGAACGTACTTATGTAGAATCTTGAAGATGTTATCTCGAGCTTGACACAAAAGTCGAGTATTCTCGTGTATCTGCAAGAACAAGAACGAAGGTCTACTAATTAAAATTTCACAATGAAATATGATTAACAGTAGGCAACTTGCAGACTGTTTAGTAGTTATTATTTGACAGTTAGAACTTAGAAGCAAGAAACTGAAATGATACTTACTTGATGTGTAACAAGATTTGCAGAAATTTGTTCGAAGATCCGGGCGTTTTGATGAATAAGCTGTGTGGCTGCAAAGAACAAAATTCTGTTTTTTTTCAGAATAAAAGAGGTTGGAATTAGATGATAAGAACATTAACTTGAGATATTAGGTGTTTGTCCTCAAGCTGATATCTTTCTTGTAGTTATAGATCTCTTTTATACAACAAGATGATAATATTGTGTGGATATATCATATAAAGATTGTGTTTGGTCAAAATATTTTCTCTTTGAAAACAAGTTTCTTACACACAACTTAATAGATTATTTAAGTTTCCATCACTTCAAACATTGAGAAAGAATTTAAAATGCAAATATGGAGTTTGTGATTATTAACACCAACAAGACATAGTGTTCACATAAAATGAAAATTCTTGCTGGCAATTCTTGAGAAGTAAAACTGACCATGGTACGATGCGAAACCTTCACTCTTATTAGAAACCACTCCTTGAGTGTATGGAGCATAACTAGGCTGCTGCATTACCACGGGGGACGATACTGCAGTAGGATCAATCAATTTTTCCTGAGAAAAGAATAATTTTAATTTTACACATTCATCAACACAAAAAGGACCAAAAGCAGCAGTGACTGTATAGGAAATATATATATATATATATACATATATATATATATTATTTTAGTTTGTTCGTGAACTAACTAGGGAAGATAAGCGAATATTTATAATTAAATAAGGTTACTGGACTAGAAGAATATCTATAAATACGTACGTACATACGAGAAGCCAAAATGCAAGTCGAGTGAAGTGAATAAGAAACATTTTGTCTGCTCGACTTCAAGCTAAGAATGAATTGATAGTGTTTTGAGCTGTTGTATTGTAACAAGACTGACCAAAAGAAGAAATCACACATCTCATTAAAGCAAGAGCATCGTAAGGAAATTGATCCTTTGTAGCCAGCCTTGAAACGTCTTGTTTACCTAGCCATGGTTAAAGGGGATAGTATCTTATATGTCGTATGTGGTCTAAGAGCTAATTAAAAAGGTCTAATCATGCTACTGAAACAACATTCATGTACCATACATAAAAGTTAGACAATTGTGATTAACGGATCATAATTCATAGCTACATCAGGGATTGCACTCTGACTACACCTTGATGCGGACTCATCATCTAAGTCTTGCATGTTAGACATCGTACTAGTCATGAATCATGATGTATATGTATGATTAAACAAATATATGTTTTTTTGGGAGAGAGATTTGTTCTTTTCTTACAAATGATTTCATTCCTTGAGTCGAGGGTCTATACCTCCACAAGGTAGGGTAAGGTCTGTGTACACACTACCCTCGATCCCCAGAACCCACCTGTGAGATTACAATCCCACTGGGTATGTTGTAGTTATAGTTTTGTGCTTTTCTCCCTTCCTCTCCTCCAATAATCTCTCGTTGGATCGATCAGATGTGTCACCATATCCTTAACTGCAGTACTACCAGTCATGAAACTACTATCGGAAGCTGAAGGATAAACAATAGACCGAAGATAAGCATCTAGAGAAACTTCTCTGGCTTGGAGATAGATAAGGTATCTCATTTTCTGTTGAGATTGCCACGAATTCTAAATTATCTTACCGGACAAAAGAATATAGGCTTCTCTGTTGGATCATGCTGCGTTTCACACGTGAAATGAAGCAAGCATGCCTTGTAGAAACTTCAATGTATGGGAATACAATTCATAAGATGCTATAAGTGTGAGAAAGCAGAGGAGAAACCGGATCTCTAGCTCCTACACTGCTCATTTGTTAACTTATATACACCGATGACATAAAGAATGTTTACGCAATCAGTGTACTTTTAACTTATTTCCCTAGTTCCTAATCCCACATATTATGGACGGGTTGCTAATAGTTAATTCATCTTTTGATTAACCTGATAATATAAAAGTTCTTTTATATATAGACGTTAAACTCTCTGGACTCATAAAAATGAGATGGAACAGATTACAGAGAGGGAAGACAATATTAATAACAAAACATAAAAAAAAAAGTTCTTACCTTTCTATCTTTATTTTTCTTCAATAGATTTGCATCATCTTTCCTTCTCCTGCTGTTTTCCTTTTTCTATAACACAGTCAATACAACAACACAAGAAAAGAATTTGAGAATTATACCTAAACAATATAATTTGTGACACCGTTTGACTTAACACAAAATTTAAGAAAGAAAGGAAAACTTTTGAAAATTGTGCGGCTATAAAGCATTTCATCAAGGAGATATTTGAAGTTAAATTGTTTCTAATTATAGAAATGTGACATTCTTTTTGAGACAGAGGAAGTATATATATGTCAACTCTTTTTAACGAAATACCTACCACTTTACGTATTTTCACAATACCAAATACGTTTTGAATTCAATTAACAGGAGGACTATTTTGTGGTTAAGAATTTCTATGTTTTTAGTACTAGCTACGACTTATTTGGAATTCAGGTATAGTTGATTGTTTGATGTATGCTTGTCTATATTTTGTTTTGGAAGTAACAAATTCAAGATTTGTACTTTTTTTCTGGTTATATTTTGGTCAAGTATCAAGTTCAGGTAGACTTTTGAGCTAATATACTAAAAGTGCAGCAGGTAGTATAGAACACATACCGTGGTCCATTTGCATCGTAATGCCACATCACGAACAGTTTTGTTCTTCAGTGCAATTGCAATTTTTGCATAACGGGATATGCTCGTCTCAGAGGCGTATCTGCAGGTATTTTGGAGTTATTGCCTTGTTATACGCGGTATAGATAGAGCTTACAAATAAACTCTAAACCTCAAGTAAATTGGCTTAGAACAACAAATAAGAGACCAAAAAACTTTGACAAGTTACATAATAGTTAATAACGAAACATCATCCTTTTATCTTTGCTTCTTATAATACTAGAAGTTAGCAGATCATATTATGAGTCAACTAGTAGAAGTTTGATGCGTACAATAGATCCTTGTGGTCAGCCCTTCTCCCGACCCAAGGGTGGACCTAGTCTATTAAGAGAATTAATGTGCATGTGCACCAGTTAATCTCCGAAAAAACCATATGTGTACATACCTTAAAGAACTATCATATAACCCCTCAAACATATCTGATTAGGGAAGCTGGTCATTGTGCTCCTTTGGCTCTTGATGCCAGTGGGTGGCTCGAGTTTGAACCTCGGTGACAACACTTGATGACAGAGCTATTCAAATTCTTCTCCTAACTTCAATAACTCTATATCGTAAACTAACAAGGATAGTGTTCTTGATTTTCCGCGATGCTCTCATTTTTTTTCCCTCTCGTCTCACATTTCCCATCTCCCTAAAACAGTTGTGCTTGACTTCAATTCCTAATTCCTCACGGAGAAATCTCAAGCAAGATGGAGTCAGCTATATACGAATCTTCAAAGATTGTACCCTTACAAATTTCACATGCAAACATTTGACTATTTCATCAGTACAACAATCACAAAGATTAGACAACCACAACAACAACCAAATAATTTGACAAGCCAACATAATTGGCCACAAAGGCAAAGCTATCTCTATCGAATAGCTTTGGTCCAAATCCTATATTTATATTGAAAAAGTAAAAATTATTAATTTAGAACTCAATAACTTCAAGCTACTAGAATCCCGAACCTATACCTCTGACTAGCCAGCCCCATAAATAGAAACAACGTATCATTGAATATGTACAAATCATTTTAGTCCAAACCCTATATTTGTATAAAAAAAAATTCATCAAATACGTACAATTTATTAATTTAGAACTCAGTAACTTCAAGGTACTAAAATCCTTTCACACATAAATTTCAATTCCTGACTCCGCCTCTAAATAGAAAACAACATGTAATATCAAACTCAAAACATCAAATTGACTACCAAAATAAAAAAAAAAGATTCACTTACTTTACCAAGCCTTCCTCCAAAGTAGCTTGTTCTTCTGGAGTCCAATCCATTGAAACTTGATTTTGTTGAAAATTTGTAGGTGAAGATGAACTGTCTCTTCCACCTATTGAATTATTATTATTATTATTATTATTCCCACTACATGAATTTGTAACATTCATATGTTGATTATTCCCTTCTTTAATATTCATATTTTCCATTAATCACATACCACAAAAGGAAATTTCCTTTACATATAAAAACAGAGAAATTCTGTTTTATTTTCTTTTTATATGCAAAAAAAAATGTATCAACAATGATGTTTGGAGACTTAGAAAAAAAAAAAAAAAGAGTTGAAGATGGAGTTGAAAGATATTATGGTGAGATTATTATTCTTTGACAGATGCATGAGCATAAAAAATAATGAGAAAATTCAAAGTTATTAGAGAATGGAAAGAAAGAGAGAGAATAAAAAAGGAGGGAATCTATGAAGGATCACACTTAGTATGACAAAAAGGTTGGTTGATACACAACTGAAAAGCAAAAATAAAAATAATAATAACATGCTAATGTAAATACAATTTTGTCTTTGTTTTTATGAGAATATAAAATTGTAGAGAAAAAGAAAGGGTTGTTGTGAAAGGTATTATATAAATATATATTACAACAATAATATACTCAGTAGTTAATATAATTCCATAAATAGAGCATAGAAAGAAAGTATAGTGTACGTAAATTTTATCTGCACTTTGAAAGATAGAGGAGTTGTTTTCGAAAAAAAAGCATGTCAAAGCAAATCGAAAAAAATAACAAAAATGAAGAAATTATAACAAAATACTATAGAAAGCGTGACAAAATACTGTTGAAAGAAACAAAACTAACTACAATGTTCTAATTGGCTCAACTTGTTACCTAAAACACCTTTTGAAACTCCTTTACTAGTAAACAAAGTGGCTATATATATATGATTGATACAAAAACTAAAGTATCAAAAAATCAATATAGTAGTTCTAGACATAAACCAACTTATTGGCCAAATTGTGACAATAAATTAGTAATACTTGTAAATTTCAATAAACACAATTATTCATAATATAAAAATAATGACTTGGACTCACAATCTCTCATGAACTTTTTGTTTCTAATACCAAACATACATTTTCTTATTTATTTTTAAAATAATGAATGATGAAAAGAATCAAACTTAGAATTTTTGTTGTCAACAGACATGGACACTCTGGAGTCTGGTACTTCATTAATTATATAAGTACTTTGTTTCAAAACTTGTACTAATAATAAGGGCAGAGTCAAATAAGATTAAGGGGATTTATTCAAATTTATTCGATAAAAAACTATATTGTATATTTAAGGTAAATATTATTGTTTCAGATGTTGAATCATTTTAATTTCTTCGTATTTTGAACTTTCTTAGTGAAAATTTTAATATCGCCATTGTATATGAGTATATAAGTATTAAAGGATGATAAATTATATTTTAATTAATTATTTTAAGGTATGTTTGTGTAACATGCGTGGAGGTGGGGGGTTGGGGATTGTCAGTATATTTTTGAGAGAAAAATAAAGAAAGAAAGGGAAGTGGGAGCTGACGCACTGACAGCTTCTCACTCACTTCTGAATTCCCTTTCTAAAAGGCATTTAAAGGCAAAGTTTCTTCTTTTTTGCCTTTAACTTTGAGAAAATGAAAGCTTTATTTACACAAAGAGAAGGGAAATAAAAAAAAGTATCTTGTTAATTAAAAATATGGATTAAAAATGTCATTTTCTCCAATTTGATCCAAAAATGTGCCAACAATTAATATTTTAATCTAAAAATATTCATATTGTTACTTAGTGGGTCAAAAATGTCATTTTCCTAATATGGTATATATGTACACACATAATTAGTGTATATTTTGTAGGAAAAATTACTGAAATACACGTCTTATATTTTTCTTATTTCCAATATCCCCTTCTATTTCTAAAAACCTCTAAAATCCCTTATTTCTTTAATGTATCTGAGCTACATATTAATGTATCCGACCCAGTATTTAATGTATCCGAGCTACATATTATGTATCCGGTTTATTTTATGATGTATCCGAGCTACATATTATGTATTCGAGCTAGTTTTTAATGTATCCGAGCTATATATTATGTATCCAATTTGTGTTACTTTTTAAGGGATTAATATAATTACAAACTAAAGAGGGATAAATTATAATTTCATATTAAAACTATGTGATTCCTAAAATTTACCCTATTTTGTACTATTGTGGGCGATGGGCCAAAAATGAAAAAAAGTACATTGAATTAATTATTTATGTGCAATGAATATGAATTTATGGTAAGTTTTATAAAGTGGTGTATGAGGTTAGCTATGGTGGGTATGATGCGAGATAGAGATAGAACGAATACGTATTGTGAAGAGGTGATTGGACATGATAGGACAAATCTACAGCTTACCGAGGACATGACATTAGATAGGAGAATATTGAGGTCGAGGATTAGGATAAAAGGTTAATAAGATGTTGAGCGTTGTTTAGTTTATCTTATCAGTATTGTTATTATTATAATTTTTCTGCTATTACTATAAGTTGTTTCCTTTGCTTTTGTTATCATATTATTTGTTGTTGCTAACTCTCCTACTTTTTTATTCTTCTACTATTACTATATGTTTTTTTCTTTGCTTCTATTATCATATTCTATTCTACTTTATTTTTAGCATGACTAATTCACTACTATATTTCTTTTTAATACTTGATGTTGATATATTTTACTTGAAACAATGGTCTATCGAAATCGTTTCTTTATCTTTACAAGGTTCAGGCAAAATTGTGTACATACCACTCTCCCAGACTCACTTGTAAAATTATACTAGTATATTGTTGTTGTATAATATACATTGAATTAGTGGACCTATTTCTTTGGTCTAGTCACCTTGTTAAGCCCAAGTTGCCATCTCATTCTGGAGGCTAGATTGATGCTATGTTTCAAATGATGTGGTATACCAAGTTAACATAGAAAACCAATAGGATAACACCACTTGCCTAGTCAAATCAAAAAAGATAAAAATATGCCAGGAATACAAGTGACATGTTTCGGTCAATTAAATTTTGCTCATTCATAACTTCAATCTAATTGGTTAGAGATTCAAGTCAACCAATTAATTCAAATGAGAATTTGTCCTTATTACAACTCTTTCCTCCTACAACTATAAATAGAGGTTATTATAATTCAGAGAATACTTCAGAACTAAAATAAAAAGTCAAAGTGAGCTCACTGGGGATCAAATTATACAAATTTCTCTACAACCTGCAAAGATTCGAGTGTTCTAAATATATGAAGATAAAGACCAAAATTGACGATCAAACTTAAAAGGCTAATGAATTTATTTCTGCAAGGAAGAATTGGAGGAGTTATAGAGATTATAATATTCATTGTATATATTGACATAAATTACTACATGGCTTGTTACAAGATTCTTTAGACTTCTTTATTTTCTTGACGCGACTTTAATTGTCTATAAATTTTAGCATGCACAATAAATAATATCTACCGCTTATCAAGGGGCGGCGGCTCAATGCCTTTGAAAATCAGGCGTCCGCCTTAGACCTCCAAATTTGAGGGCTCTCATTTTTTTTTAGTAATAATAAAGTTATTCTAATTTTTTAGTTAAAAAAATAATTATATTGTGTCATTTCAATTTATTTGTCTTACTTTGTTTAGTTCATTTCGAAAAAAATATTTTATGTTATTTTATTTTTGTCATTTTTTAATTATAATTTTTTACATGTCATGTTTAAGACCATAAGATTTAAAATCATTTGTACTTTTCGAAATTTTGTTAGAATATATTAACAATTCTACATCTTGAAAAACTATTTTTTTTTTATAAATAAAATAAATAATAATAATTAACACCTTTGATTTATTTTTGATTTTAGATCACTAATAAACTTAAGTTGTGTCTGCTCTTATCTCTCTTCTCCTCTAGGTTTAAAAATATCAAGATGATTGCAACAAAAATCAACCCCAAATCTAATACTATTGAGTCATCCTACTCCTAAAGAAGGTCAAAAGTTACCTTGGCAATTATTGGTCAAATCAAAAGAAGCACAGTTGAAATGTTAGGACAACAAGTGCTTCAAGTGTCATCCAATAAACTCATGATTTCACTCATCTTCTCCAAACAAAGTGAGATTTTTTTTTTTCATGCATCCTAAAAGAGGGGAACAACATTGCTATGATGGTTGAAAGAGCTTTGACTTGATTCAATCTGTCAAAAAGAATGACATTGACTATCCAACAACCATTTCATGCAAAAGGATGATACTTCCTCCATTCCGTTTCATTTTCTATAAGTTAGTTTGACTTAATACATAATTTAAGAAAAAAAAAAAATTGGAATTTATGGTGTCAAATAAGTGAAAAATGTTTGTGTGATTATAAAATTATTTTATTAAGGATAAAATTATTTTATTAAGGATAAAATTATTTTATTAAGGATAAAATTATTTTATTAAGGATAAAATTATTTTATTAAGGATAAAATTATTTTATTAAGGATAAAATTATTTTATTAAGGATAAAATTATTTTATTAAGGATAAAATTATTTTATTAAGGATAAAATTATTTTATTAAGGATAAAATTATTTTATTAAGGATAAAATTATTTTATTAAGGATAAAATTATTTTATTAAGGATAAAATTTATATTTTAAAATTAAATTCTTCGTAAATATAGAAATGTATCATTCTTAGCTTTTTGGAACTAAAAAGAAAGAGAGTCATATAAACTGGGACACAAAAATAATATGTAATTGGAGCATATAAATTTCCTATCAAGGTATACTCCCTAGTCAAAACTCTATTCAAATAGTTATCCACATGAACATTCTTCATCGTCCATTAAGAAATACAATATTAACAATGAGATGTTATTGTTATATTGTCGTACTCCCTGCATTCCATATTAATTGAATTTTTGAGGTATTTCACACCTTTTAAGAAAAGTAGATTAAGACATAAATTGAACATTGTTTTTCATTTTACCCTTATTAATTATTATCAAATTTATTATTAAAATAACTAAATATTAATTAATCACTAATTACAATACTAACTAATGAAGGGTAAAATTGGAAGAACACTCTAAAAGTAGTCTTGAAAATTGAACAATTAAGTTAATTTGAAAATGAAAAATACCTCAAAAATTCAATTAATATAGAATGGAGGGAGTAGTAATTGAAATTTCAGAGACAACATTTAATCATTGTGTTTTGGGGATGAAAATTGGATCATAAAAAGTAAGGAAAAGAGCACTTGTACATCAAAAAGGAAAATTATTTACAAGCGGTTATTCTTTTATTTTCATACCCCCTCGTTTTTAATTACTAATGCTTCTTTATTGCTTAATACTATTAGAGTATATATTTACTCTGATGGCATCAAGGAGGAACATACAATGTT